CTCCAAACAAAGAACAAAAAGTTGATGAAACATTTAACATCCTTTTCCCTTGAAAAGCAAATATTATAACTGACACAGTTTCCAGCATGAGGCACCATTCATTTGTTATCAGCACTAAACATACTTAGAACCACAAATTTATGCAAGGTGTTAAATGCTTCTTTCTGAGGAAAGAGAACATAACAGCAAGGTAAAAAGCAAATGAAGGAACTGATGTGAGTTGTAGTCAAGATATTCCATCTACTATAAGTTTCCTGAGGCCAAAGATGGTACTTTTATACTTCTGTATAGGGCAAACCAGCCTAGCTAAAGCTGTATGGCACCCTGAGGGAAGGACAAAAGGAACCATGTGCCAGATAAAGTAAAACTACACCTCGATTACCACTTCCTCTCAGACCAATACGGTGACAACTCAGGACCCTGAACCCAAAAGCTCCGGGAATAGTAGGGTCTACAGATCACCAACCAAGATGCCCCTGCCGAAGTCAGGGAAGCAGCTCTTCTGGTGAAGAGACAAGTCAGCTCCCTCAACTACTGACCAACTGCTACTCGCAGGGCAGAGGCAAGCCAGACTAGCCAAAGCATCATGGTACCCTGAAGCCAACAGGAGGCAGCATGGGCCAGGAGAATCAAACTACCACCACCAACATCACTTCCCCTTAGACTCCAATAGCCCAGATCCCTGAATTCAAGAGACTTTGGGACCACCTGCAGCCAGACCAGGTCCCTCAACCACTGTCCTAGGGAAACAAGCCCTATAGAGATTCAACCTAGTCAACTGCTTCTCCAAGTGTTGAGGCGCCCACCTCCTCAGCAAACACAGCAAGTGAAGACCCAGATAAGAAAAGTTCCCAAAATCCTTCACACAGTCAAATGATTTAAAATAAAAAGATAGGATGTCATCAGTAGAAGTGACAGTAAATAAAATGCATTACCATCTGCTTTGCTTCTGCACCCTAAAAAAAATGGGGCCTTTTCATCTGATTTCCAGCTGAAAAGCCCTACATGTGTTTTCTCCCCCACTAGTCTGTGCATTTGTTAACACAGGACTTTTTTTTTTTTAGCACAGTGCTTCACACATAGTAATGGCTTATAAATGCTTTATCATTAATTTCATTCATTCAGTTATTGTATCTAGAATAGTGTTCTGTACACAAAGGACACTAAATTAATATTTATTAATTTAATACTGAGTAAAGAAATAAATTTAGATTTAGAAACATAATGCCAAATCATTTGTTAATCTTTAATATTAACAGTGAACTCCTTCAATTGTGTCTCTTTATATGTTTAGAACTGGATTTAACACGGCACCTTGCCCTCAGAAAGCACGATGCGTTAAAAACTCCGTAACAACTTAGTACAACAAATGGCAACTATATTCATGAATGTCTCAACAAATAGATGCTATGGTGGGTATTTAAAGTTCCTCTATAACTTTTTATAAACTATTTCATCATAATAGCTGCCTTTGGGGAAAAATTTTATCTTGTCCCTTGTTTCCTAAATTATCACATGGTCACTTATCCCATTTTCTCTCATCTTCTTGCTTTACCTCTTTATGTCTTACCCTATTTATTCTCTCCCCACCTACCAATTTCTTTCTTCTTAGTCTATCACTGTTGTAGTGATAGATATTAAGATAGACTGAGGTTCAAAATTTTTTCACTTTATTGGTTTATTAGATATTTTATTATTATATATTAATATATAATATGGATAATATATATCATATTATTATATACCAGCTTATTATATATTATTAGAGTATGGGTCAAAATGGCTGTGTCTTCCTTATGATTGGCCTGAAGACAACCCTTCTTAGATGTTTTAATGAGGTGAGGGGAATGAGAATCACCTCAGCTCCTCCCCTTCAGAAAATGGGATTAGGCTGAAGAAACAGAGCTGTGCAGAGCAGCTTTGGTTGAATCCTCTAGAATTTGGGTTGAGGGGGGTGGTGGGTGAGGTTAATATAAAGGAACCTGCATTTGATTAAATGGGGAGTGGGTAAGGTTACAAAGATGGAATATACCAGGTTAGAGATACAAATTACAAAAACAAAATTGAGACTTAAATGACAGGAAGCTACCTAAAGTAAAGGATAAAGATAATTAATTACAAGACAAAAGCTTGCATTCTTTTTTTTTTTTAGTGTATTAACTCCAAGGAATTTAGCCTATCCACATATACAGGAAAGACCAAGTGGATGAAAACGTCTATTGCTCCGATTTCAACATGCATTTGGATGGACACCTACAAAACTTGTCCAGCAGTATATCTAGGACAGACAGTACAGAGAGATATGAATGAATATGACCAGAGATGAACAGGGGATTGCTTTCAGAAAACTGCAAAGGTCTTTTACTGACCCCAAGTTTCCCATGAAAGCAAAGGCACATTTTTTCCCAATACTATCATTTTAACGGTGTTCTACACGGCAGCAAGATGTGGACTATCACTGCCTCTAAAGAACTAAGGATGAGTATCATAGAGAGGATAATGGAAAAGTGCACAGTCTATATGAACAGGCTATAACACATAACCAACAAAGAACTCCAAAGAAGAACAGGAGTAAAGAATGTTACCAAAGAAATGCATGAGAGGAAAAGAAGATGGTTTGTCACATGGAAAGAGTATGGGACTACACAGTAGACAGTCAGAGTATACCACTGGTATCCTGCTGATATCAAGACAAATAGAGAAAAGACAGTCTCCAGCCCATTGGGTAGCCCCTCTGTTAAGAACTTTTAGGGGAACACGGACAAGTCACCAAAAAAACCGGTAGGTATGAATAGGTTGCAAACTGCATCTTTGGAAAGAATGCCCAAAGCTTTGACACCAAGGATTCATTTTAATATTTTCTGGTACTTACCTATATGTGTACATCTCACCTGATAGACTGCAAACTCTTTAAGGAAAAGAACTGTTTCATTTTTGTCTTTATTTCTTCCATAGACAGAGGCTTGCTTGTAACAGAAGCTTAATAAATTCTTGCTAATTGCTTGATTGAAGGGAAGTTAGATACTTTTCAGTCTCTGGAATGGGGCACTTGATCTTCATACTCTTCAATCTGAACTCCTCCTCAAAACCCAAACTGACCCAGTACTAATTGGTTTTCTTTCATACAAATATTAAAGAATGGCTCCATACGAAATGAACTCAAATATAATCCACTCTGTTATTCAGACTTCTTTTTTTTTTTGCTTTTTGGTGAGGCAATCGGGGTTACGGGACTTGCCCTGGGTCACGGGACTTGCCCTGGGTCACACAGCTAGGACGTGTCAAGTGTATTCAGACTTCTTAATGAGCTTTGACCAATCTTACCAGGCAATCACTTGATAATAGTAAACTTTTTCTGTATAGCTGAAAATATATAGAAGGAATTATTTGGGTTCACACCCAAATACTTTATAGTCACTGTCTCTTAAGTCATTGTATTTGCCATTGAGTGCCACGTGTTCAGAAATAAAGTACCTTTTACATCAACTGAAACTCAGAAAACAGGATAGGATTTTACCAGATCTCAAATCTGTTCCTTTTTGTCAGTGGAAAAAGTGCTTAGAAAATAAATCTCTAAATCCCCATAGATGGTTTAGGAAGTGAAAACAAGTAGTGGAAATGCACTACTTTATTCACTGTCATGTGAATATAGCCTTTCCTGATAGTTTAAAAGCAAGAAGGCAATAGTAGCTTGCTATTCTATATCATTAGAGGAAAAAAAAATCCTACAACAAAACATACACATAAAACCTAAAACAGAAACCTATCCTATTAGAAGGCAAGAAGTTATGGGACCAAATTAAGAGGTATAATAAAACAAGGCTGTCTTTGTTCTGAATCAATTTTAACTCTCCCTGAAGAAACGTGCCTTTTTGAGAGCTTAAGTTCACCTGCTTACACACAAGATGACTAATTTTAGACCCAACCTCTATCGCCACCCTACAGAGGTAGTGTTTTTATCTACTTAGGTCACGTCAAAACACTCGTCTTAAAAACAAGTTACACCCCCTTCCACACACACCACCAAGATACCACCATCATCACTATCATCATCCGGTAAGGCTTTCATTTCTACCTGTGTTGGTCTGTTGGTTTTTTTTAAAGTCACCTCAGCTTCAATGACCCGAGAAGATAAACAGTGCACAGAGGGCAAGGGGGAGGGCGCAGACTGGAGGCACCAGACCCAGGGGGAGAAAGGCAAGGGAAGCGAACACCTCCGGTGAGGACAATGGAAACGAGGAGGGTTTTCCACTCGCTCGCTCGCTCGCTTGCTCCCAGTCTAGCGGGTGAGATTTGAAAGAGCCCGGTGAAAGCTTTGGACTTGGGAAAGTCTGATCAGAGCTAGTGAGACGGCCTGGAAATGCAGCCGCAGGAAGGGGGCGGGGACAGCAAGTGGGCAACATTCGCCCGCCCGCTCGCCCTCACTGTGGACGCCCGCGGCCCCGGGGGCTCCAGCCGCCCCCCACCCGGCACGGCCTGGCCCAGGTGCCGGCGGGGGGCGGGGAAGCCGCTGCCTCCTCACTCCCCTCCCCCCCGCGGCACACCGGCAGCAGGGTGCCCGGGGCTCGCGCCCAGGCACTAGCCAGCCGGGGCCGGAGCGGAGCGGAGCACAGCGGGGCGGAGCAGGGCTGGGCTCGGCGGGGAGGGGAAGAAGCGCCCCGCCACCCTCATTCTCTCCCTCCCCGCCTCCTCCTCACACAACTTCCCAGCCCGGGGGGCGGGGGACCCGCAAGCCCCTCCGCCTCGCTCGCCCCGCCGGCCTGGGCGCGTGCCGCCGCCGCCGCTGCTCCGGTCTCGTGCCGGCCCCCTCCCCCGCGCCCTTCGGCCCCACTTGTCCCTTTCCCCTCCCGCGGACCGGGCCCGGCGGTGAGGGGGCTCACAGAAACCAAGGGTACCACCCCTTCCTCCCCGCCCTCCCGGCCATGGCTCCGGCCCTCCTCCCCGAGATCTCCCCCGAGCCTGCCCCGCTCCTACCCAGCCGCCCTCCCGCAGGTGTTTACCGGGCTGCGGGGGGAAGAGGAGGAGGCGGCGACAGCGGCGGCAGCTCCTCAGTCCCGCGGCTAAGATGGCAGCCACTCCCGAACCTAAGACCACAGCGAGCAGCCAAAGTCTACACTCAATGCGCAGGCGCGGCCGCTCGGGAGTGGCGGAGCCAGGGGGCGGCCAGGACTACAAGTCCCAGTAGGCGTCGCGAACCACTCCCTTTCCCAGTGAAAGGTGCCAGGTTTGGAGGCGGGGCAAAGGGGAGGGGGAGATCCTGAAGCCCCTGGGTTCCCCTAGGTACTTCAAGGACAGGTGGTTCGGATCCTGGTGATTCTTCCCCGGAAATTCTAAATGTGAGATGGGCACAGGTTACATTGTTTGACTTAAGAGTCGGAAGTCCTGGGTTTGAGTTCTGACGCCGGCAAGTATTGTGCGACCCTGGGCAAGTCACGGCATTTGCCAGAACAGGTGACGTACTCATCTGTAAAATGGGCATGGTAACTCCTAGCCTTCCTATCTTACAGCAATGCTGGGTAACAACATCAGTCCTGGTAACAGCCCCAGCCCCTATACCCTGTCTGCCTCACACCAGTCTGGATAATAACCGCTAGCCCTGCTGATTTATTTGGCAAATAAGGGAAAGAGGTATGTATATATGTTTACATAAGACTAACTAAAAGAGGATAAGTTTGCCTGAAGGCCTTCCAGGACTCAAAGTACAGTGTTAAGACAATTTGAAGAAACCTTTTACTCTATACAAAACTTTACCAGGTGCTACAAGACACAATCATAATCTGTTGGTGTTAGAAGGGACTACAGATCATCAAATTCAACCTCAGTATTTACTGATGGGGAAACTGAGGCTGGAAGAGGCTTGTCCAAGGTCACATAACTAGCTTGGACTAGAACCTGGGTTTCTGGGGCTCATTCCACTGGACCACCCTGGGTCCCAAAGAATATAACCTATGGGAAGGAATATAACTGACGGACCCAGGCTGTTTCACTCATATGCCATGTACTGGGTTTAGAGGCCACTGGAGCTGGCACAGGAAAGTTTCTGATCAAAGTTCAAAGATCTATGCCACAAGACTCAGTAGTGACCAAAGCAGCTCTCCACCTTCCTGCGTGAAAGAGACTTCATGACACATACAGTCGGTATGTGACAGGTAGACATGACAAATAGAGCCAAAAAGTTCAAAGCTGTTACTGTCCCATACCCATCTTCAGGCATTTAGAGGGGTTTAGCCTGGATAAGAGAAGAATAAGGGCAGAGGAAATTGAGCAATGGGACATAAAGCTGGAAGGAACCTTGAAGGTCATCTAATCTGATGTCATGTTACAGAAGAAGAAACCGTAGAGGTGAAACGTGACTTGCTGATGTTAAATAGAGAGTGTGATAGTAAAGCCAAAAGTCTAACCCTGAGTCCTTTGACTCCTAATCCAATGTTCTTTCTGATGCTACCTTTAAAATGAGAGTGGAGATCCACTGATTATCCAACTACTTAAAAATAATTACTTTTGTTAGAATGAATTATTCAGAACCTGGTGTGAACTGGGCATTTACACTTTCTTGAATCAACCCAAGGCATTGCTTGAGACTTGGTTATGTCCTAAAGAAATTGTATAAAAAGAGCTACCTCAGAATAAAAATTCTAAGAACTTTTAAGAAAAGAGGAAGAAAGTCATACAGAGATAGGCATGAAAGAACTGATTGTGGGAAGCAACCAACCAACAAAAGGACAGAGAAGAAAGATATCCGGGAGGGCTATTGATTCTACAGACTGATTCTACCAGTGTATTCCTCCTACTCAAGGATAGAGGGAAGTACTGAAGGAAAAAAAAATCTATTCTCCCCAAATTCCTCTCCTGGTGCCTCTCTATCCACAGACATTGTAATATAGTCTGTTTTTCTTGCCCAAACATTTCCAGTAACATGAATTTTGCCCCAACCACCGAAGAGGCCAAGGGTTAACTAGAGAGAGATAGAAATGTAAATTGAAGCAGAGCTCAATTCTGCCCAAATGTTAGGTATTTTCCTAACTTGGGGTTTTCTGAGAGATTGTGATTGAAACTTGTAACTTTTCTTTTTTGTTGTTGTTGTTGTTGTTGTTGTTTTTGCTTTTATATTAGCCTCCCTCCCTTTTCTTTCCCTTTACCCTTAACTACTTCTTTCCTTCCTTCTATCTCCCTTCCATTTTCCCTCCTACTGCCCATAGGGCAAGTTAGATTTCTTTTTTTGTTGTTGTTGTTGTTGTTTTCTAGGCAATGGAACTAAGTGACTTGCCCAGGGTAACATTGCCAGCAAGTGTCAAGTGTCTGAGGCCTGATTTGAACTCAGGTCCTCCTAACTCCAGGGCTGGTGCTCTGTCCACTGTACCACCTAGCTGCATGGAAACTTCTAACTTTTCATTTAAAATAAAGTCCCTTGAGTCTCAGAGAAGAGAAGTTTGTAGTTGCCCTTAGGTTTAAAACAAGCTACTTATTTTAATAGTGTTATATTTAAAGAGATGTTATATAGAAGAGAGTTTAGAATTTTTCTGTTTAGACCCAGGGAGCTGAAATAGTGCAATAGATGGAAGTTGGGGAAAGGCAGATTAGGATCCAATATAAGGAAAGACTCTCTAACAATCAGTGATATTAAAAAATCTAATGAGTTATCTTGGGAGACAATGATTTCTTCATCATCAGGGGTATTCAAGAAGGGACTGGATAATTGGACACTTTTAATGAGCGTATAGAGGATGTGAATGCAGGTTGAACTACATGCGGTCCTTTCCATCTCTGAGATTTAATGGAATCTCCTCTTGATTTCACAAAGCAGCCACTTAAGGTCACTAGCACTTTGGCATAATGGAGGATGAGAAAGAAAATATTTTTTTATCCATACTTTGTATCTATTCCAGTGCCAGGAAGAGGTATACAGCAGGTATTTAATAAATGTCAAATAGATGGGTGAATGAGTGGTATTTCTGAGGCACCCTGGCCCTTACAGCAGTCCTGTGAAGACCAGCAAATCTTTGCTCAGGTATAGGCAGGAACAGGGTCCGAGAGTAGGTTTGTCAGTATTTATAATAATAATAATATATATATAATATATAATAGTTGATATTTATACAGTACCATACCTTACATACCTTATCTCATCTCACTGGAACCTCACAATGACCCTTGTGAGGTTGTCCAAATATTAACTCCATTTAACAAAAGAGGACACTGAGAGACAGAAAAAGGAAGTGACTTAACTTAGGCTGTGCAGTGAATACCGGAGCTGGGAAAGAAACCAGGTCTCTTGGCTTTTCCTTACTTTTCTACTGTGTAATACTGATGCTTATAACATGAACCCAGGCTTCTGTCCAATTCATCCTTCTAGGTTAGGTTCTCTATACCCAGAAATCACATCTATCAACAAGCATACACAGCAAGCAACACACAATTACCTAATGCTACTTTCCCATCACAGTAGCCAGGGAGGTGGGGTGGGGGGTCAGCGAGAGACAGAGCTGGGTCAGATTGGCATCAGAAATGCCAAAGTACTTCTCTGACCATCTGACCTGGAGGAGAGCTTTGGTAAAGGGTTAAGAATAGCTAGAGAAGAAAGGAACAAAAAAGGGAAGAGAAGGAAGGAAGGAAGGAGAGAAAGAAGGGAGATTGGGTATTTCATGGACGGGGGCAGCTAAGGAAACAGAAGAGAAAAAAGCAGATGTAAGAACACAAAGAGCATACAGGGAAGTAAATGATTGAAAAAGAGCCAGATGCTTTTCTTGCAAAGTCCTGAGTCACACTCCCATTTCAAAACTCACCAGGAGATCTACCCTTTCAGCTTCCTACTCTGATAGAGAGGCTCTTATGAAATACAGAAGGATCAAAGGAGAAATGTACTGGCTCTGGGGTGAGAAAGATCTGTGTTCAAATTCCAATTCTGAGGCGGCAGCTAGGTGGTGCAGTGGATAGAGCACCGGCCCTGGATTCAGGAGGACCTGAGTTCAAATCCAGCCTCAGACACACAACACTTAACTTGCTGTGTGACCCTGGGCAAGTCACATAACCCCATTGCCTAGCCAAAAAAGAACAAACCAAAAAACCAAATTCCAATTCTGCCTCTTATTAGCTATGTGATCTAGGGCAAGTCATTTCTCCCCTCCTCGTGCTCCCCCCCCAAGCCTTTCTGGGCCTAAGTTTATTTTTTTGTAAAATGAGGGGGCAAGGGACAGAAAAAAAAAATCTCCTTCAGACTCTTGAGACGCTCTAAATAAACTTGGGGTTATCTGTTGAAAGTGACATAAGGAGCTTAATAAAGGACCAAGGAAAGGGTTATTATTTAAAGAGAACCTGGAAATGAAGAAACTGGAGAGAGACAACACACATTAGTTAAGGTAGTTATCATGGTGACGTCTTGTGGGGATTTCATAGAGACCCATGGGCCACAGCAGTCATGCAGTGCCAATGTTTCAGCTCTCCCACAGACACCTAACACTCAGCATTTGACCTTTCCCTGAGTAGCCCTAGTTCTCAGTGCTATTTAGAATCACAGAATGCCAGGGCTGGAAGTCGCCTAAAGCTGTACACTTGTTGACAACAGGAACTGGCATTTGTAAGCTTCATATATCTCCCGCATGGGGAAGACCTGCACGAAGTAGGTGGTTAAGTGTTTGTTGAATTAAGACTAAGGAAAGAAACTTGTCTTCAAATATCTTCGGGGTTGTCATGTGGAAAAGGTCTCAGACTTGTTCTGCCTGCCCCTGTAAGGCGGAACTAGGAACAGTGACTAGGAATTAAAGAGAGAAATTTCAGCAAGTCAAGGGGAAAAAACTTCCTGTCTGTGAGTGCTGGGATGGGCTGGCTCAGGAGGTATTGTGTTCCCCATTACTGAGGCATACAGACAGGTGCTAAGTGATCTTTTGACAGGATCGTCTCCCTGCCTCTAGTCTTTCCTTTTTCAAATCTATTCTCCTCACAGCTAATATTTCCAAAATACAGGTCGCACTCTGTTATGCCACTAGAAATTTCAGTGGCTCCCTATTGCCACTAGGATAAACTATAAACTCTTTTGATGAACATTAAAGTACTTCACAATCTGGCTCCAACCTGGTTGGATTTCACCTAACTTCCCCTTG